AAAACACCCTTTACCGTTTTTGCACTTGGCCAGGCAAAAAAAAAAAAAACAAACAAACAAACAAGCAGCTGAACCTGAACTACCCGGAACAGGGAGCACGTTGAAATGTTTGTCCTGCTGCCAGCTTAAACTATGGTTTGTTTGTCCTCTCTTTTATTTTGTTCTGAGAAGGGAGCTTGCAAAATCAAGCTGTACTTGTAAAACACCACCATGGGAAGGTGTTTTCCTGGCTGGGAAGGGGCCCCTTTGCCCTCAGCCGGATGCTGGCTCTGCCCCGCTCTGTGCCTCTGCCGGGGTGGCACCGGCTGCGAGGAGCGTGCTTCTGGTCCCTGGAGAGGGGTCGCGCTGCATTAATATTGCACCTGCTGTACAAGGGCAAAGATGGAGCTGCGTGTGCACTTATCCTTTTTAGAGAAATAAGAGTCAGAAGTAGCCGCTCCTACCCTGGCCTGTGTATTTTGGCCTCTGTGGAAGTGGCTTTTCTTCTTATCTATGACCTCTTCTTACCCAAGTTTGCAAAATTTTCAGCTATGCAGCAGAGGAGACTTGACCCATCTGAGGGGCAAGAGGTCAGCTGAAGCCAGGAGGCGGACGCGTGTGTGCACGTGGGAGCACCCTGGCCTTGTGTCTTTCCCGGTTGTTAGCTGCATCGTAATTTCTGTGGCTTGTGCCCTCTTTGTCAGATTGTGCGTGTGCGTGCACAGTGAACCAAGAATGCTTCACACCTGTGCAAAAAGCCATAAATGACAGGAAAAGATGACTTGGGACCTCTCAGCTTTCTTCATGCAAGGGAAAGTGTCATGGAGCAAATGCAATGAATATAGAGTAGCCTGCTGCAGACAAAAGTTTACTTATATTGTATCAGCTGTAAGACACATGGGCAGGATGTTAGCCCTTTGGGCAGAGCTGCACGCTGCTGTCTGTGTATAATGAGTTGCCTTAATACTGAGCTTTGCATTTAGACAGCGTATTGTGCTGACCTGGCCTCAGAAGAACAAGAAGATAAGCTGCAATGAGGCCATTGATTCCAACGCCCCCTTGTCCCACCTCCACCAAGTGCGGTTTTTCATAAACATTTTAAATGCAAAGATGGAAACTGACCCTCGGGACCTATTTTTGCTCTGGTACTACTTTGATTCTCCTGACAGAAGCAGAGAAGAGATGTGAGGGCAGCAGCTGAGTTGCAATAGGATGAACGCTCGAGAATCCTCCTTCTGCAAAGTAACATTCGACAGCGAGAAAAGAAACGAGGATTAAAAGATTGGATATTAGAATGCAAGAAAGGGAGGAAAAGAGAAAGGGATAAAGTAACCCCCGTCGGGCCGCAGCGAGCAGGGTTCGAACCTGCGCGGGGAGACCCCATTGGATTTCAAGTCCAACGCCTTAACCACTCGGCCATCGCTGCTGCTGGTAGCGCTCTTCCCCGGCAGCATTCCTTATCCCCGGGGGCTCAGGAGAGAGCGGCTTCCTCTGGAGGCTTTTTTTTTTCTTCCCCCTCCGCCTCTCTTGAAGTAAGTGTCACTTACTTCATACTGCGATTTATTTTTTTTTGTTTGGCTGCTGCAAACGTCTGCTTTAGCTGCTGAGAAGTCAAGCAGCACAGGTGGCTCTACTCTTCCTTATGTAGGTAATTACTCCAATAAAGCATATGCAGCTATGCACCTCCGGAAAGAGTAGTGTCTCTTTCTGAGCTCCTGGGTTAGTCAAACTGAAGCATGAAGCCTGTGTCTGCTCCTGTAAATTAAACGTGCGAGCGTTGGCAGGCACCCTTGAATTTACCAGCCTAGGTACTGCCAGCAACTATTGTAAACTACAAACCTCTCAGGCGTTGCATTCATTTTTACAGTGATGTTACTTTAAATTTTGTTCTGTTTTTACTAATTTTGTTCTTCAAACTATTACATGTGGCATATGACTGCAATATGTAAATTAATTTAAATTTTTTCTGAGCCATGCGTATTGATTTCTCATTATGCTCCCGCTGACCCCCAGTTAACTAACTTCACTTTCTATGCATCTTGCAAGGGGTAAAAGTACTCGTTTTCCTTTTCCACCCTTTTTGCAGGGTTTGTTTATGCTAAGGATTTTACCCTATTTTTGTCGTAACTTTTACTGCTTTTTAACAACAGCTAGAGTGGAGCTGGTGAGTGTATCTGTGGGTTTTTTCCCCTCTTCCCATGTTTGTTTTTATGAGTTACTGATCAAGACATGCTCTGAATAATGCTTTAACTTTCCTCAGCACCACAAGTATTGCTGGATTAATAAAGATCTTTAAAAATCTCAACAAATTAGTCCTTAAGAAAGTTCTCAGACACTGAACTGGGGAATGCAGAGGAGAGACCAAAGTTAAAAAGCATATATTTTATGATTTTAAAAAGACTCGGTCATGTTATTGCACTTCAGAAATATTTTTAAAAATCTGTTTAGCTTTTGAGTTTAAGTTAATACAGGTTTCAAATCCTTATCTTTCCATGTCTTACTCAATAGAAGTTAGGATTAGGTTAGTTTTGGATCACAGTCAGACGCATATGGCTCTGCTCAGCTCTGCGTTACTAAAACCAATACAGAGTTTATCATTAGTTTCGATGGGAAAGGATAAGACACAACAATGTGTACGGACCATCTGAAGAAACAGAGATGGTCCCTTAGTGGCGTGCAGGCCTCTGGTGACAGAAAACCTTCAACTGTTCCTCTAGAGCAAAGACAGTAAAAGACTGAATTGATATAGAAAACTTGACGCTTACTACGCGTTAGTGATTATTTTTTCCTGTCCTCTTATTGGATAGGGCTCAATGTTACTGTTAATATTAGTGTATATTTCATCTTCCTGTCCTCTATGTCTTTCTGTGTTGCTGTGGATATCAATTTTCCTTGTATTTAAAGCTCATGCTTGTGCTCTTTACTGTCTATATTTTAGCTAATAAGGATATTTTAAAAACATGAACTTGTAAAATGGTCTTTATTATTCTCCTTTATATCCCCCTATTCACCTCAGTACTTAAACAAAGATTATTATGATGCTGAAATTGCAGGTTGCTTAAATCGTAAGTGATGTGTTTAATGTGTTTAAAACGTGTTTAAATCGTAAGTGATTTGGCCTGTTTTGCTGATATCCGTGTTATTTCATTCATTTGGTTAAGGCTCTCATAAACTGTATTATGCCTGATAAGATATTGTCTTTATAAATCCATAGCGTATGTGGCTTCATATACATGAAGGTGAAAAATGTGATTATACCACATTCTTATTATTATGTAAATAGCAAATACTCAACCTGCATGAATGGCAGAGTGAAGAAAAGTCATGCTTTCAGTATGGCCTAGTATAGCCAAGGAAAGCTTCCTAAAGAGCGGAAACAGAAGTGGAGACAGGCAGAGATCACGTTTGCTAATGGAGAAACAGTGCTTCTCTCCCATCTGAATGCCAGAAAAGACTTGTTGGGGCTTTAGTATAAAGTTGATTTTATTTTTCCTTCCTTTGAGGACAAGGAGCAGAACTGTTTACAGTAATGAATCTGCTGCAGATTTATTTTCTTACAAAAAGAGACTGCTTGAAATCCACACAAGAAGGAAGATCTTATGAAACGTAAGAATATTTTTACTATTCAAAATTAAAGGAAACTGAATTATGACAATACATCAAAATTCAGATTTGGTAATTCACCTTTAAGGAAGGGTATTTGTTCTATCCATTGCGAAAGGGATTAAACCAGGACTGTCACTTTTTCCTGGACAGAAGTTCATGCATGTGTGCTATGTACTAGTCTTCACATGCTTCATACATGTATTTGCCTCACTGCACATGCAAGATGGATAGAATGGAGATTTCCAGTTCCAGCAGCCTACTGGATGCTTTGACTGAACTGTTGGACATCTGTAAATCCTGGACAAATGCACAAAAATGTTCAGCTTCTGACCAGAGGAATTTGCCAGGATGTATAAAGGGAAACAATTTAAACATATATTAGATCTAGTCTGGTCATGAAGTAAGGCCTCTTGACACTTAAGGTTATTTAATGACCTACAGAGCTGCACAACAAACAGTTGACCATGTGATCACCTGAGTCTTGTATGTTATTTGTGCAAAGATTTTTTTTTTTTTAAACATGGAAAACATGATAAAGAACTCTTAAAAATGCTCTAAATTTTGAATCCTACCCACTTATTAAGGACTTCCTGTGACGGGAAAAATTCCCTCTTATCTAAATGAAATACAAAATTTGCCTACTCCGTTTTTCCTCGTGCCTTGTTCTGCTCTCCTCATTGAGGAAAACTGCAAAAAAGTCCATTACATTACTGGGAGTCATACATACAAACATTATTAAAGTCTAAATCAAAATGGTTTTATTTTTAGACTGCAGAAACAATTCTTGTGCTTAATTCTACTAGAGTACTATTTAAATACAATGGAGAAATCTAGACAATTTTTTTCCCTGTACTTTACTGAGGGAGAGCCTTTTTTAAATACTCCTCTTCTTGACTGACATGGTAAATAAGCTTTTTTAGTGTAAAAATTTTGATATCCAGTACTATCTGATACATTTTAGAATGACACTTTTGTAAGCTGAGAGAATAGATAAAATTATTACCCATCTACAGAGAAGTTTTGAGCTCTGTAATGGAAATGTTCAAGACAAAATCAGAAATGGGTATATTTGTTACTATTTTTAAATGGGCTTGTTAGCAAGCAAAATCAACTTGAATGGTATTAAAATCTGTACTATACGAATGTTCACATTGCCAAAGCTCTCACGCTGTTTGACCTCTGTTCTAATAATTGCCCCAGGTTATAATAGCACAATTCCTTTGTCTTAAGAATGAAGTTAATTGGCCTTAATACTAAATTACAGAACCATGTTTTGGAGTTCTTATTTGATCTCCCTGCCAAGGAGAGAAACTTATATTCTGATGCTATGCAAAATGCAGAAAACCCAAACAAGATGCAGCAAAGATAAATTACAATGTGGTCTCAGTAATAAAAACTTATTTATACGGAAGAAAGAGGGGGACGGTTATAGACATTTAGACCGAATACATCTGGGGAACTCAAACTAGGCTCAGTCTCAGTGGGAATGCCACCACTACCTATTAATGGCAACTCCAAGCCTCCTCTTTGCACCTAATTGATTTGCTGCAGAAAACAAGGTTACCAGTCTGGGCTCACCATTGGTAAGAACACAGCCCCATTGGAGCGCTGCTGTATGCTCGAGCACAGTTTTGTGTTTGTTAGCCTAACGCAAAGACATAGACTGCTTACAGATTGTCAGCTGGGAAACTGCTGGGTGGCCAACGGAGTATATCTCCCATTACGTAGTGAGGCATGCTATATACAATAGAGGCAGAACCGATATGTTTCTGAGCCGGGGAGGTCTTAGGGCTTGGATCTGGAGCTTAAGGGAACGCTTGAGGGCAGTTGTCCTGCCTCAAGCCTTCCTTGGAGGGTAAAACTCTATAGTCTAACCATTCCAGGCCCATAGGCTTTTGCCGAGTAGTTAAAAAGCAAGGAACGCAGACTTGGAAAGAGATGTCTTAAAACATAACATGCATCCCAAGATGACAGTTGCCTTTATTTCGTATTCACATAAATAGTGGAGTTGGGTTGAGAAATGCACAATTTCATTAAGATATAATGAACCATGGGAGTTGGCTGCCTGGTGTAAATGACATCAAAAGTGTTATTTAAGCGAGATAGATACACACACACACAGATATATATAGCTGTAACAACTGTGTGTATTTTTTTTTTTTAAGAGCAAATTGTTACTTGAGCAATGCTAGAGTGACCTCCAGTGTTCTTTGTGCAAGCTGCAGGAGAAACAGGATGGGATATGCTGGAGGTATCAGGTGCAAAAGGAGTAGGCTTAAGCACTGTCACAGAATAATCTTGGTAGATGGACAACAGTCAGAAAGGGATTAGGGAAGAATGGTATAATTTGCAGAGTGCTATTTAAATTCTAGCACTTTGCTATGAAACTAGTACGTGCCCAAGACAGAAGGAGATCTCACTACATCGTGAAAGTTGCTAAACATATTCTAAAGAAAATCTGAACTAAAAATGCCATTGCAATGTTAAATCCTGGGTACGCCAAGATCGGGAAACTGAATAATATCTAAAAATTTAATTAAAACTCAAGATACAAGCCTGAAGTACAACTCTACTGAAACAAATTCTTAAACTGTAATAAAAAGGTCTCTTGCCAAGCACCGGAGAGCTTCCCCAGGTGAGGGTACATGAATTAATGAAGTATGACACCTATTGTACATAATCTTATTTTAAAGGTCCTAAATTTGGCTACCTTTAAGGGGCTAAGGCAATGTAAGAGGAGGGAGGTCAAAAGAAAACTGGGTAGGACTGATCTTCCCTAGCATTCGAGTAGGTACTTGACTTTTAGATGCCTGAGCCAGCTGCTCAAGTCGCCTGCTATAAAAATTAGAGCGAGATCCTTGCCTCTGAAAGGCAATTAACCTCACCTATTTTAGGCTGTTGTGAGCAAATCTTGAGATATGCTTTCCAGTAGTCACTGAGAGGCCCCAAAGATGACTAGATACCTGACTAAAAGCCTAATTAAAGCATTTATTATGTCAAACACTAAAAACTAGCAATAATTTTTATGCATATAAATGGTTGATTTGATGATTATTGCTGATATTTATGATATTGCTATGTAATCAGACCATTAACAGAATTCATGCATTTAACATTACTTTATGAATGGATTGTTTTGTAGTTTTTTAATTTATACCTTATGGCCTCTGTTTTTTGAATGGGAATAAAAATTACAGCTTCAGGAGCCTTCAGGAAGAATGGTGATATTTATAGAGTTTTCATAACTCCAACCAAAAGCTGAAAATGCAATTTTAATATAGTTGCTTTGAAAATGCAACTAAAACTATTAATACTAGGAACTTTTCTTCAGGGTAGGACTAAACGTGAAGTAAATACTAAGTAAGTTTTACTTTATCCCATAGGCTTTCAATGAAGATTTAACAGGTCAAAAATGAACAAAGGATAGTAGATACAAGTTTACAATTGATACGTGGATTTTGGAAAGCAGATGCCTTTCTCAAAGGAATCCTAAAAGTTTTATTCTTTTGAGTCATTTAAACCTAGCCAGAAGTGGACACTGGAACAGTTGATAGAGAAAAAAAATCGATTTGAGTAGGACTGCTGTACAGAATAATGGTAACAGGATAGGTTTCCCCACCTTTATTCATGACTTGGTAACTTCTGTAAGTAAAGAGGACAGATACCGCAAAATCCTTAATAAAAGTATTGGGAGTACTGCCTCTTCCATCCCTCCTCATGCATATGCTCTGTGCCCTTTTACTTAGTTGATCTCTATCAGCTTTACAGATGCAATAGTTTCAACATTTATTTCTATTAGAAAGCCTGACTTTCAGAATGCAATGTGATTATCAGAAACTATTAATATGATAAGTCTCTGTGATGTTTGCAACAGAAAATTTGAATTAGATTCCGCCTGCTAAGTTAACAGGAAACATTTACAGCAGTGTCAGTGAACAATAATTTTGTGCTTGTGTGGAACCTAGGATATTCAAGAGTAAATTTTACATCTCTCTTGAAGAATGTAAGGGCATTAATGAATGGAACAGAAATTGTATATTGCAACAGACAGTGTCAGCACCATTATAGGACATCTTGTTCCATATTTTATTACTGAAAAAGCTAATGAATTAAAGATCACAAAAATATTGTTGCATACTTAAATATATTTCTTCTGTAAACTCATCCGATCAGCTTTGTAGTTCACTTAACAAAACTAAATGCCTAAACCATACAACCAATCAAAACATAACTCCAGAAGATCCCATAGGGCTAAAAATTTCCATTCTGTGTCCTTAAGAATGGATTTGGGTGGCCAGCTGCAGAAACAAACAGAAGTGGCTTCATTCTGGAACGTCTATATATTAGTGCAATAGCCTGTCTGTATAGGCTATTGCTCTATAAAAGTTACCATATAATAGTTTGTTCATACTGTGCTGTGTGCCCTTACTCTTAGGGCACTTTAGTCAAATTCCTAAATAGAAATTTAATTGTTAACGCTATTCCTCTGTATTTAATATGCACTTGCATACTTAATATGCATTACGCACTTGATTTATGCTAAACCTAGGGAGTTTTTGTGGCAACTCTGGTAACGCCGAAAGCAGCACTCGTCCTTCATGGATCACTAGCTGTTTCCATCTATTTTTTGCATAATAGATTTATTAACAGTGTAAGGGTGATGGATTACATGTGTCTTAGCTCCACTGTGTTTCATTTTTTTTACACACTATCCTTACAATCATTTAGGATCCCTTAGGGAACAGTGATTCATTAGTTATTCACTAAGTTTTTTGTTGTTGCTGGTTTTATTAAGACATTTAAAGACCATTAAATGTGTATGCTTAACAAAATGAAAAGCTATTATTCATCATTTATAATTCTAACCACTACACCAAATTAGCTTGCCTGTGAAACTGATACTAATTTAGTATGAATTTTTTGCGTGCTCTATGAGAATTCTCCCGGATTAAGAAGTCAACAGAGTTGTCAAGTTCCAAGGAATTTGCATTTCATCATACCATGCTTTCCTGCATAATTTATTTAAAAAAGATGTCAGGTCATTCGTTCATGATATGGATATGTTTCCTACTTCTTTTCCTAGTTCAGAACCCTGTACTGTGCTCCTCATCACAGTTCCTTATCAGACATAATCAGTCCCTTACAGTGATTTTGCATCATGTTCCTTGCTTCGTGGTTCCTATGTTTTTGCTGGGGCTAATACAGTGGTGCTCCACTGTCTTTCTGCTTGGTTAGAAAAACATTCTGGCAGAGGTATACTAAAATTTCATATTAACGGATTCTCAGGTTGTGAAGTATTTCACTTGCTTGACTGTATTTGCTTGACTCTGCGTTTACAGTGTCAGGTTCCAGTGCTAAAATAATGTCTGCAATGCGATTTCTAGTATGATAAAATGCAAAGAATATTTCAGTCAACCAGAGTGCTTAAGACATGATCTAACTAGCAATCATGCAGTGACATTAGAAATGTTGAATAGAATCCTGCTATCTTAAACCAAAAAGCTATTTAATGGATATTATAGGTATTTAGCTGGATAAAGGAAAAAGATAAAACCCCTTTTTTGAGATTAAGATATTAATTATACTTATTGCAAGGATGGTAGCATTTTTAGAAATTTTTAGTGCCTATGTTACTTGAAGTCAGAGCTCTACTCTCGTTTCCCCTCTTCTAGTTTACCTCAGATATGGGTAGTGAGTACAAATATGGTTTCAGACGTACAACTCTCATAAAAACTCTTCTCTCCTGAGACAGAAAAGTTTTCATAGGACATCAGCCATGTTCTTTCACTATACTCTTCTTCTACCATGGATAGGTATAATTTTTGTGAATATTGAATTATGTTTATTCTGCGACTGAACTAAAGCTAAACTGGCGGACCGAGATGGCTCAGGGACCTGTTTATAACATATGGAGCTTTTCATGAGTTTAAACTTGTCAATGGTGACAAAAGTTGTTGCAGCGTAATGGCTGCTAGGCAGCTTCCATGGAATTAGTTGGTATCACAAGCTTTTTTAAATTTTTTTTTTATTTTTAATAAAAAAGGCTCACTATTGCATCCTTTACAGAATAAAAGGAAAAACAGATACGTCCTTAAAAGTGTCAGCTGAGAATTTTATAGAAATTATCCGGAAAATGATAAAAAATCCTAATAGTCTTGTAAACCAAACTATTCTTGTACTGCTAGTCCCCTGTGACTAAGGACTTTAGGCTTTTAGCAGGGTAGTGTGGAAAAGCTGCTGATGCTCTTGACTGACGAGTTCATTGTATGCAAAGATGGCTTCAGTTTCCTGGCATCTGTCTGGCTTTGCTCACAGATGCTTAATCAATTTAGTTAAAGCAATGTTTTAAAAGAAGTCTAACATCTGTCAACACAAGTATGTGGATAAATGTGTACTTAACTTGCTAATGCAGCTAAATATCAATTTAGGTGTTTAAATATCCATGCATACCCAAAATAAGGCACACAATTGTATGCTGAAGCATTCATTTCACTTTTGAAACTATGGCTCTTAAAGTTAACACAATGTATAGAGTCTGCTTTTCTCTTTAGTTCTCTTCTCATATGTTTAATAATGGATCTTTTCAGAAAGATGCATATAGTTCTACTTATGTTTTTAAATGAAATTTTGAGTTCGCTGCTACGAGATTATCAGATTATATCATTGAACATTGGAGGCACCAATATATCCAAATAGTTGTTTATATTCTTAACTTTAAGCAAGTAAATAATCCTACTAAATTTAGGCCTATGTGCAGTGCGTTATTGGATCAGGGCCTTTTTCCTTAATGTGTTTATGCATCTTTACCAGATTTATTTAGTTTTACACAGAAAGCATATTCCACGTTTCTGCTTGCAGTTCTTTTATATACCCGTTTACTACATCTTTATGAAAAGAGAAACTAGGCAAGTGGATACGAAAATACCTCTAATGTTACATGTAAGCAGATATGCTTTCAAAATCTGAGTATGCCAAACAAGATATCATGGGCAGCTTCCCCATGAAAGTGCTACCCTACGTGCCAAAAAATAACTCATGGTAGGGCTGTTAATTAGATCCGGCTTTCCCAATGCATCTGACACACTGTAAATACAGGTAAGGAATAACATATCTACCACCTATACGAAAATAAAATTCGTTCCTAGCTAGCATTCTGCATTGCCTGACTTTTGTCTCCATTTTGTGCACAGATCCCTTTCTAAGTATGGAGGCCCCCGATTTACTTCAAAGAGTTGTTGCCTTTTGTATGATTCAAATGTTGAAGTGCAAGACATTTTCAGATTTTTCATATCATCATGCTTTTCTGGTTTGATAGATTTTTTTTTTTTTTCCTGTGGAATAATACAGAGCCTGTCTAAATAGTTTTAATTCATAACTGAGATTTTGCTGAGTTTTACAGGCTATCTTTCTCACTGTCATTACAGGAATGGCGGAATTACGATTTTTGGTTCAAACCAGTGGTACACCTGATTTTTGCTAGTACTTCCATATTCCCCGATGCTTTAGAAGAGAGTTTCAATGAGATGACAGTGGGCAATTATGGAAAAATCCCCTCATCAGAAAATCTCCTTGCTGATCAGTGGTTCACTTACTTAAACCTGAATTATAAATTTGTAACTTAACATAAAATCTATGCGTAGCAGTGACAGGTTGCAGTTATCCTGTATAAATTATCACTCTAATTCCTAGGAAGCCCCAGTTATAGATTGTAGCAGCAAACCCATGCAATTCTTCATACATGCAAAATCAAATACTTGGTTAATGTTGACATTATGTCATAATGACATTAAAGAAAAAGACATTGAATGTAGGGAAGCTAAAAATCGGTAACTTATTGAATGGAGATAATTTTGATTATCTTTTAAACAAGTTCCAATGGTTCTTTTAGATCAATTTTATTTTTCTTTCAAACTAAGCTTTTGCATATAAATCATCATGCAATATTTAAAGATTTACTAATTAGTCACCTACTGTTAGCATTTTGCTCATGCAGATATCTATTCTATGATATATAAAATCGGAAGTCATGGTTAAAAGTTTGATTTTTTTATAGGCCTATATCGTTGACTATTTCTGTCGCTGCAAGTGGAGAAACGCATTAGGAAGGGGCTGTGTCCTTCTTTGAAATGTCTGAATCTCCATCGATATTCTAATCTCTTTTTGATCTTTGGTTATTCTTACTTATATAGCAAAAAATTTCCTCCTCAAGAAAAATATCCTTCTAAAAGATAGTTTGAAGAATTAAGTCTCAAGGAATGGAAGTCTTGAGATTTGTGTCTTCTCTTTGTGCGGACCCCAAGAAGATGTAAAAAATGTATTTAGGAACTGCAGGCGCTGCTGCTCTGTTTCTAAAGCTTAGGATCATATTATTCATTTTGTAGTTTAAACTTCCAAGCTGCTAATTTCATACTCTACAGCTTCTCAGTAGTAGTAAGAAGTAGTGTCTGGTAGGATTGCAGGCTGTTTTTAAAGACTTCTCTGCTTAAATATTATCTATTGGTTATATAAAATTATAGCTTATGGATACAATTACCGTTCTGACAAGTTTGATTTAAAAATAATGTAAAATATGAAATGCAATAACTTTGCTCCGTACTTCCACTAAAAGTAAAAAAAAAAATTAGTAAATCAACTTAAAATAGAAAGAAATTACTAATTATTGCATTTACTTACAGATATTAGTAGAAGGCAAATGGCCTGTCCAGAATATTGAAATGTGCTGTCTGTAGAGGAATATATGCTGTGAAGGAAAAAAAAAAAAATCTTTTGTGCTATTTCTGAAAAGTTTAAGTGACTACTAGTATCACGATTTATTGCAGTAGTGTGAAATCCTGTTAAAGAATTTGATTTAAAAATTGTGAGTTTTTTAATCACTAAACTGTGAGGCTAGATTTTGTTGTCTCTCTCTTTCGGCCTAGCGTAGTCTAAATTATTTAAGCAAACAGTGATTACATCTGTACTGGTGCACTTACGGGTATGTCTAAGGTCCTGCGTCTGGTCACACACTTTCTCCGTGCCTTGATCCCATTTTGGGGCTGGACTCAGCTGTTCAACAGCTCCAACTTTTTGACTTGACTTCTGTGGGAATGAAATCCGTATAAGAGAGGCGTGAAACTCTGATGTGTATCAGCCAAGTCCCTCCCCTGAGTGATCAAGGACCAGGACCGGGTCCACTCAGTGCACTGTGCACCTTATTCGACCCTGAGTTTGATTTACAGAAGTTCCAGCTGCAGCACAAGCGCTGGCTGTGGCCAGGTCCTGCTCCCATTCAGGGCCCTGTAATTCTCTCCAGAGTACCCTATAGCAGAATATATGGAAGTAGAACCTTGCCTTGTGAATGAAAAACTAGAAAAAAATCATGACAGTTTGTAAAACAAACAGAAACCCCCCCCAACACCTGACAAAATAGCTTATGTATCAGAAAAAGAGTGATACGTGAAGTGACATAAAATGATTAGACTTAGAAACACTAGGTTTTATACACATTTCTACGTTCAGTTCTCACAAATACTGCTAGGACGTGAACTTGACAGGAACGTTTGCCAATAGTGGAATCTATCTGTGGAAATTTCATTTTCCACTTCCTGGGAGCAGAAGTGGCATTGTGGCATGTTTACTTACAGACTGCTTAGGAAATAGCTTTCCTGGCAGGCAGTGTTTGCAAACAAACTGCACATAGCACATGTGCTTTGGTAACACAGCAGTTTTGTGAAATTCCCGCTATTAACTGCCCGTCCGCGCACTTCCCCAGAAGGAGAGGGAACGGCTCCCGCCCACGCCCAGTACCTGTGAGGGGCGCGCGGGCGGGCGACCGTTGGGGCGCGGCCGCGGCCGTTGGCGGTGGCGCGCGCCCCGCCGTGTGTGAGGGAGGAGGGCAGCAGAGAGCGGGCTCCTCGCCCCCCAGACCCGCCTCAAGTGAGGGCGGAAGAGTGCGGGAAGAGTAGCTGCGTCACTCTGTGGAGAACGAGGCGGCGGCCGAGGGCAGGGCGTTGCTGCTGCTCCTGAGGGGAGAGGGGGGAATGGCTACAGGCTATAGGGTGTGCTAGAGAGCAGGTTGTAACAGGAGAGTATATTTTCAACGGGCTGTTGAGCCAGTCAGCCTTATTAATGTAATAACTAGGAAGGCTCTCAGGGACATGGCCAGAGGTATATCAGTGTCCCTTACTGAAGTGAAAGTGGGGCTCTGAGAGGCATTTCTAGATACAGCTGGCAGTCTGCTGTTTTATCATGGGCATGGGTGCTTTTGCTCAGAGCTCTTTTGGGATTTGAAACTCATTTCACTGATAGGAGCGGTATGAGCATGTGGCTTATCTTCTAGTGCCTGTCTTCTACTTTTGTCTGCCTTGTGTGTCCACGTGGCAGGGAAACGTGAGGGAATGCGTCCACTTGCAGTGGCTGTCCCCATTAGCCTGCCGTGTTTGTGCAAAATGGCCTCAGCAAAACTTGCCAGAGCATTTCTGCCAGTGCTTTCTGGGTCTTTGGCTACTAGGTGCCTATTTTTACTGGCTCAGGATGGCAAAACCGTTGTGCAAAACCTGCCAATTCTGACTGCAGCCCTGAAGTTGCCACAGATTTTGAAGTAATCTCTCTGAATAAGGACCGTGATGAAATGGAGAAATAGTTGGGAGAAAGGAAAGGGAAGAAGACAGGTTTTTGTTTGCTTTCACTGTTGACTTTTTATTTTGTGTAGAGTTAAATCTTTTGAAATTCCTCGGCTGATACGCTCCTTGGTGAGTTCAGTCTGTTTTAAAAGACTGACAAAAAAACTCCCCTTGGTATGAGGGAATGAAATAACTTTGGCATGCATAGTTCTTTTAGTTTGTCTGAGGAATCACAGAGCTACTGGCCTACAAAGAGCTACTGAATCCTGTAAGTACCTGAAGGAGTGCCACCTAACTTGTAAAGTTACCAAATGTAGCAGAAAAGAACAAAAATCTTTGAACAAATCTACCTAAAAATACACCATATTTATAATAAATACAGGAATAGCATAAGGGCATTGAGAAAAATGCACTAATTTTATTTCATGATGAATTTACAGGAGTTTTCACACTGAACTGACCCTAACATTTCTGTGCTGAGGGTTCGTTTTTCTGTTTGGGTGCCATCAAATTGGGTTGACTGGCAAAGAAATTAAACAGAAAAAGATTAAATCTACTCAGATAAACTAGTGAAAGACAGGTGAGGTGTGCAAATCAGGATTAAATTTAGCAAGGTGTAAAGTTGCGAGATAAAAGATTAGAAATAGTTAATAGCATGCATTCAAGAGGTTTGAAAGAGGTGATAAGAAGGCTTTTATAGAAATCTGGAAGATAGCCAAGGTGAAAAATACATAGTAGTGTATATATATAGTAGGTATAGTATGTATATAGTAATTTACAGTAATCCCTACTGTTAAAAATATTTCTGGATACATTGTGTGGAATATTTCATTGGTACTTCAGAATTGATGCTGCAGTGGCTTTTGCGGTTGTACTGCATCACTTAAAAATGTGTGGTGCTCACTTAATAATAACATCTGCCCACCACATTAAAAGTTTGACAACTCCCTGTAAACCCCCTGTTCCAGTGGAAGAGCTTTATAGCAACAACTTAATGGGAGGATTTGTTAAGATAAAGAAAACTTGGGAATAATTCAGGTGCCTAAACATAGATGTCTAGTGACATTTTTTGATGCTTTTGGGCATATAAAGCATCCTCTATCCAGCACTGGCATATGTGATAGAGATCTGTGGGAGATCGATGTCATTCTGGAGGCTGTTAGGATAGGTACACTACACTGTCTAAAATGGCACTAGATGCTTAACCAAGGCAGTTGAATCCCATTCCTTATTAGATAATGCAAATGGCGGGAAAAGAACATGAAATAAAATTAGCACTTTCCCAGTCTCTCCTTAGTGTATCTATTAGAATAAGGAGGATCACCATTGACTACTGTAGCAGTTTTTTCATAAATTAAGCACTGGTGTAATTACAAAGATCTAATGATTAAATCAGTAGTAGGAAAGATCTAGATAAACTGCACTTGTGTATCTTGAATGTTCCTGTGCATTTAAGTGAACTGCATTTTTGTTTGTTCTTAACTTTCAAATGAAATTGAGTTCATGAAGTAAATAGTGCTTAGAAATGCTGAGAAATTCTATCTTGATTAGCAGCAGTGAGTAAGTTTTAGACTTACATTGCATCACAGAGTTCTAATACAGTGCTCAAGAAATTAAATCGTAGTCTAGAAACTCTCTGCTCTGGTTGTTCATGCCTTCTAAATTCATGAGTTGGAGATAAGCAAAGAAAGAATTTATCTTCCATGGTTGACCCTTAAAATTCTGAGAGGAATGAATTATGGATAAAATTGTAACTTTAACATATCAGTACCAGGTATATTTCCCCATAAGAAATTGCTTTATCATCTAGAAAAGTATGCTTAGGTTCTATGAATAATATTTGATGCTTTTGCAGAATATCTGTGAGATACTGTGTATGCAGTATCACCTTTTACCTCACTTTCAAATATTTTCCTTCTATGCAGCTTTAGGTTAACTAAAGTTAACTAAATCCAGCAATCCTGTAGAATGCTCTACTGAAATCAGTTGGATATTCTATGACAGGGCCCAAATGTGATGCGTTGTGTTTCATGCCCTCCACCCCTCTCAGACTTGTCTTTTACTTGTCTCTGTCCTGTTTCTTCTCAACTGTGAGTAGTCCCGAAATCTACTCCTCAAGTCTCTCTCTTCCCCTTCCCACCCTCCCCATCGAGTTCAGCCTCTCCCATGCTGTTAGCCAGTCCCAGAGTGCCTTGGCCTTCAGGCTGCCTGTGCCCTTTTCACCTCCAAATCAACTAAAAATAGCCAAATGGTTTGGACTGAAATTTTCCAAGAAGAAAGTTCAGCCTAACACACGGACCTGGTATACGAAAGTTGCAGGTCAAAAGGTTTAAGATCCTTAAAATCTTAAGCAGCAGAATGGATAATTGCATAGGAGATATTGAGCAGCTTCTGCCCTTTCAGAACTTCCATTTTTTTGACATGCACACTATTATGTACTGCAGTACTGTTATTAAGATTAAAAATGAGCAAAACTTCACTGATGTCTGTTTCTTAAATGGCCAATTTGGTGGAAATTGTAAATGTGGGATTATTAATCTGGAAATGTACTTTCAGTATTTTGCAGTAGTAAATGAAGATGATTGTTATGTACACCATAGTTTGAGTGAAATTTTGCAATGTGAACAGTATTTGCCCTAGATTTCCCAGTTATTAGCTTTTACTTTCTTTGTTCCCCCTTCCTTATGTTCGATGTAAGCCACATTGATTTCTGAGGGGGTCTTGCCACTGACTTCAGTGGTGTCTGACTTAGGGTATAAAAGCTCAATGACAAACTTTGCGTGATTAGAAATTAACTTGGGCTTTCTTTAAGTGGTATTTTCAGTAACAAGTTGTCGGTGAAGTCAGGAACTAATAGCTTAGGAGGAGGTCCCAAATGTTACTCCCCTCCCCATTCTGATTCTTTTCTCCTCCTATTTTGTTTCTCATAGACTAGAAATGACAGGCAATCAAACTTGTCTCACTCTCAGTGGCTCTGGAGTCGAGTTGCTTCAAGAAGAGTTCTTCACAGAGCTGTTTCCAGGGATCTTTCATTAGGTGCCTGATTCAAAAGGTGAGATTGAAGGTGAGTGAAGGAATTTTCCACTTGGTGAAAGAACATTAAGCTCTGAATTGAGCTGTAGACACTTAGTCAAATAATGACCTCCAAAACTCAAAGAGTTAGAAGTTTTTACCAACTTTGTTTAAAAAAACAAAAACAAAAACACACGCACACTATTTTTAAGCTCTGAGTGTATAAGAAATCATTGTGATTTGTCACTGGAAGCCATTTGGAGTTTGTGCTTGATCCATATTGGCATACTGTAAAAGTGGAATACTGTAGAAGTGGGAAGTGGCAAGAAGCCACTTGTCACTTGATTCTGTATTGGAATACTGTAAAAGGAAAGATAAAACATTATGGGAATGCTGTTCCTTTAACAAAGTTTCACTTATCTCCTTTTTGCTGGATGTTATTTCAAGTACAAGGAAGGCTTATGCAGATACAGGTTATCATCTCAGTGTTGAAAATACTGAATTACTGTACCAAGCAATTTTATGCAATTATTTTTGATATTAAAATATAAAAGGCACTGTTCCTAAGAGGAGGGTAATGAAGGGCTGTTATGCTAGGTATAATGAATTGGCATATTTCAAAAAGGTTACGCACGTTATATAAAACCCGTTTAGGGTTCTCCCCTTAAAGACAAGGGATAGGTTCAGAGCTAGCGAAGCCCAAAAGACTTCCAACAGCAAAGAATTAAACCTGGTGACTGGTATTTAGAAAAAGTAAAACATAAGGAATTGTCACTGTTCTCTCCTATTTCGCATCTGCTGGTCCATGTTAGGAAACTAATCCAATATGGAACAGTTTGCAGGGTTTTTTTGTAGGGTTATTATTAAACCAGATCCCTTTGAGAGTAACTTGGAATGAGGGAGGAGGGTAAGAGAAACAGGGATATCTTTAGATACTAGTTGTTTGATCAGAATGATATAACAAGTAAGGTTTCTCTTTTGAGCCACATTTTGATTTGGAAGCAGTAACTGAGTTTTGATAGAGGAAATGTGTCATGCAATGCCAGGAGCCTGAGCCCCTGTGGAAGATTTAATGTGTGTCCTGAAATCAGAGGTCTGTCCAGGTATACAGCATGGTGTGGTGGGATTATGGTCTTACTTAAATACTGTTTCTCTTTGTCCAGTTTTTAGATGGCACCTTTGTAGATGATAACAAAGTAGTTATTTGTGGGCTTCAAAGCATGGTGCATTTTCTGAGAGTCATTTCCCTTCTTTCTCGTGCCTATCTCAAAATAGAACCTTAGGAAACAGTGATTGCATGCATTACCCTTAATTTTTGGTTTATTTGTGCATGTCTGTAGACAGCAGGGGAGAGTGATTATATTGCTTGGAGCATTGGACAACACAAAGTCAGAATGCAAACCTTTACAGACTACATCAATTTGAAGATAGCTACATAAAATGGTACTTGAGGGTGAAGCAAGCTGGTGTAATGCATGGATATGAAACACAATAAAATCTATTGTGAAAAGTAGCAGTTGTACAAAGAGAAAGAAAAACTGTGTTGTGAACTCATTGCAACTGAGTAAGAAATAAACATTTGTTAAGCAAAACTAGATATAATATAATATTACAATAGATAACCCTCAGCACAACAAAAAGCGGAAACTCTGGGATTCCTTCTAAGAAAAATAACATTTAAAAAACTTCCAGTTGCACATCATGGAAATTGTTTGTTTAGTTGTTTTTAATGAGGTGAGCGATACACTATTTTTAGTGCAAGGTCAACTTGAACTTTATTTAAACAGAGTGTCTGGTTCTGACTAGAGATAGGAACACTTTAAAAGTGATAAGGAAGGGGGGGCTTGGAGCCAAACCTTCTTAACCTATCATTACCAGCACAGGATAAGCTATTCATGTGGGAACTGCATGCCACTTAGTAGAGAAGGGATGCTTGTTCAGTGCTCCAAGTGCACGCAGTGAAAATAGCAGAGGTTCATATCAAATCATATGAAAGGGTTTTTTTTTTTTTTTTAAAGAAGAATTTGAAATGGGTCTGAAGAGTGCTAATGAAAACTCCTCTTTTTTGTCTTTTTCAAAGTAAATGCTTTTTCAATATCTCAAATATCACAACTGCTGCTCTGAGACCCGGAACTTCAGTACCTGGGAAAAATGTACCTGGAAGAAGCGTTAGAAAAGATAGAATTGAAAATAGGTTAAAGCATTTCTAGGCCAATCAGGATTTCTTCTCTCACTCAAAATAGTGTATATCCTTTTTGCTTTCATTGATATCAGTGGAATTCTTAGTTTAGTGCTAATACAGTGAGAGCACTGTCAGATTCTCCAATTCCCAAAGTTATACTTAAGCGGAGGAGGTTTTTCTAGCTGTGGCTGTGGGCTCAGGACCGTAACGCATATTTCTAGATATCTGCTGGTTAAGAGCAGAGTCTGGCATGTTAGTGCAAAGCCAAAAGCTCTGCAGCTGGTCAGACCATAGGATTCACACCTCTGCTGGAACGTCTCCTAGAATTCATCTGTGTGTTGCAACTGGCTGTAAGTGCATTCATTCAGGCAAGGCAATAATTTAGATAGTATAGTTAAGGGAGTGGAATATGTTAACTGACCTTGCTAAGAATAAAAAGTACCAATATTTGGGTAACTTTGACATGAGTATGGAAGATGAGATTATGTTCTTTAGTTTTGTATTGCAAACTATGTTTGGAAATGGATATATTTGGAAATATTTTACTCTTCTTAGCCTGTCTATTGACCGCAGTTTTAAAAAAAGTTTGAGAGTAGTGTGCTCTAGTGACTAGATCACTGTATCCCTTATTCTGCCACTAGCGTTCTGTGTGATCTTGAGCAAATTATTTCTGTTTTCTGGGATCATGTTCCCCTGTATAATATTAGAAGGTGACCTCTTTTTGGAAAAGTACTTTGATGGAAAGCACTACAGAAAAAGTAGGCATTACTGTTAAACAGGAAAGAGAATGCCATTCGGAATGTTACAACCCTGGGGAAACAAATCTTCATTTAGTATCTTACTAGACATCAGAGAGTCCGCATAAGACAAACTCGCTGATTGAGGTGTAGTGCTTTCATCCATCACAAACACTTTTTCCATAAGCCTTAATTAAAGCTTTTCACGCTGTTGGGTCAGTCATAAACTGTATCTCTTACTGTGTGGGGCCTCCTGTGTCCAGTAAGAATTAGGCTCATGCTGCATTCTTTTCCTTGGTGAATTTACTAAGAGGGATGATATCTGACTCTAGCTATTTCTTTTATTCTGAGAACTATATTTAAGAATTTGATATAAATCTAGTGTATTTGGGACTTCCGTCTGTCTTTTGGATGTGGTTCAAGTTGGCCAATGGATTCAAAAATGGCTATTGAGAGAAGGTGGACACAGAGGGAAATGAAAGGAAATATCAAAAAAAACCAAACAAACCTTTTCTCTCAGTATTAAAAATGTCTTCCAGTTACTTCACTGGGAATCTACTTAAATGTAAAGCCTTGTTAAATAAAGTAGCCTTCAGTGAATAAATATTATTTAACTGATATCTGAATCTTGTCACGTTCTTCAGGTCTCAGGCTTGTTTTTTCCTTTGTGCTGCCTTTACATTAGCAGACGTCTTTCCTCTTAGTAATGATAAAAAGGGACTAAATCTAATGTGGATAGAGTGTAACCTGATGACTTTATGTGGAACTAAATAACGTGTGAGGTGCATTATAGGTTTTCCTCAGATACTTCCCAGGTGTCAGAGGTATTGCTCCATTGTACTGCCCACAAAGTGCAGTAGGCCTTCAAGCAGAAAAACTCCATGCAGTTCTACTGCAAACAAGACTAGTAAATTTTAACAGATAACTCCTCTGCAGTCTGAATTTTCTGTATCAGCTAGCGGATTAAAGGAAAACATAGTCACTGTTATTGTTACTTCTTTAAAACCTGATTTGCACTCCTTGTGCTGATTCTGTAGTAAAAGGGCTGACAAATATTAGTGTCCCAGAGTGGTGTCGACACCAATTGATGTAGTTATATAATAAATACAAAATTAAGAACAAGTAATAAAACATATTCAGTTAAATACTCTCAGCAGTGCTTAATGTCTTGAAAGTCCTTGGTCTCCTGTGCATGTGTTCCTTGTTTAAAAATACACATCCAGACTACTTTGTTTTTATGAAATACAGTTTCTGGTGTCTTTCTGGCTTTTTAAAAAGCAGTAGGCCTGTGCATTTTATGAACTTGGTAGGATAATGTAGTGTATGTCAGTGTAGGATAACATACAATGGAAAAAAAAGAAAGAAAACAAATCTGGTGCCAAGTGATTGGGTGAGAGCCTGATGAATCCCTTTGCTGTCTAGTTCAAAAGTCTGAATCTGAGTCATTGCCTTGAGACAGAAGTTGGCATACAACCAGAATGTATGGGAAAATAATAGCGATGTTGAAAATGACAAGAATAAGCACCACAGGCAACGGCATTGACTTGTTTCATGTTGCTCAAAACGGATTTAAAGGCATTTTTTTGATTTCTAAATTTTTGTGGGCATATTTGTGCATTAGTATATAGCTTTAAGGATGCCCATCCCCCTGCCACCCCTCCAGCAGCCACTGTGTCCTGTCACTCATCCTGAAATACACTAGAGAGCTTGTGAGGCAGTTGGCTTGCAGATGCCTCAGAAGCCAAATAGTGAGCCTTAGCAGTTGCGCTGAAGTTCCTAACACAAGGAAATTACATAGACAGTTGCTCTAGTGCTGCATATGGACCATTTGTGTTCTAGGATAGGTGAGTGATATGCTATTGGCTTTCTAATGATTTAGCAGAAATTAGATTCCGAAGTTAAGTTTGTCTAATTTATGCAGAATATCTTTGACTCTGCTTTCTGATGTTAATTAGTTTATGTCTGTGTACAGTGTACTTACACATTATCTAAAAGCTGCAGATACTGTGGTCACGTTTTATTGCAGGTTGATGCAAACTTCTTTGACTGTTTTTCAAGTGTCTTTTTTTCTTAAACTGAAGCAGTTTAACTCAGCAGGTTAAACTCAGCAGTTTCAGTTTGGACACATCTGCT